CCTTCCCGTCGATTCCGATAACAAGGCTACCGACGATATCTTGCCCGAGGACCAGCACAGCACACAAGCTTCGACCACAAACAAAGTATCGTTGCGTGAGCTCAAGAGGCAAGCGTATTCCCCAAGTACTCTCCATAACCACAAATCGGATCCGCGCAAGCGGCGGGGTGCAGGCACTTTATCTCCCCATAGCACGAGCAAGAATCCATCTGGTCACTCCAAGGGCCAACCAAATATGAAGTTGCGGATGAACGCAATGTTGGAAAAAATTAAGCGTGACCTGTGTTAGGCGAGCAGCGTCGTTTGTAGGTAAGTGAATATATACCGGAGAGAACGCTCTGACGTGCTTGGTTTTCGTTAGTATCCTACATCCCATGATTGTTACCTTGTGTTTCCTTGCCGTCAGTGCTATTGACCGTCATCCCTGTCTCACCCTGTTCGACCTGCTCTCCACCTCTGACGAATCTACTCTCCAAGGTCTCGATAAAAGGATGGGCCGCCGTCACCGCCGTGATTGCGGTTGGATGGTCGCTCATGTGACCAGGTCTTGGATCATCGAGCTCATCGACCAGTCCAATTGCCCGCTGTGGTAAAGCTTCTCCTAAAGGTTCTATATTGCTAGCCGCTTCCATCGCGGCGAGTGTGAGGGGAGAAGGGGGTGGACTACGCGACTTTGACCGTCTTGCATCGCCATGTAAGAACGGGATGGGTGAGAACATGGGTGTGGACGGCGTGGACTGGGTGGCAAAATTGACTGGAGTACTCCCAAGGGAAAGACCATTTTGTGATGTCTCTGGTGGGAAGGAACTCCATGTCGACGTCACGAGTAGAGACCTCTCTACAGCACGGAGATATTTGCCTATGGCCTTGTAGTGTTTCTTCGGATGCACACAGAGTTCACAGACACGTTGAATAGTAAAAGGAGGACTTCTAGACAAACATCAGATCAAACTCCTGGAGCTAGTACATGATATACCCACTCGTCAAATTCGTGGAGCTGTTTAAATATAAGTGTTTTCAATTCGTTGGCCTCTTCTCGGTTCATGTGCACTTTCGGGGCCTCGATAGGATTCAATTCATTCGGTTTATGAGGCGGAAATGGAGGGAGCCTCAAGTTGCCAAAGCTATCGGGAATACCAGTGGGCAACGTTGGCGAACCATTGCTAACCTCAGTGCATTGTTCAGCGTCTGAAAGGAAAATAGCGACATTCTATGCTCTGATATCAATGTGGACTGTCGGTGAAGACAGACCGATCCACGAACGAACCTGCTCTAGCTTAAATTTGATCATCTCCCGAAGCTGACTCCATTCTATTCTGCCGTGAGAGGGCTGGTCAGCTCGGACGACTACGCGCGAGAAGTAGGATGGCGTTCTAACTCTGATCCTACGATGTCCGTAGCAGCTATGCGGTCCAATACTGCCTCATAGGCTGTACACGTATGGTGAGTCCATGGCAGAGCATAACAGCGCACGACTAGCTCCTACCCGGGTCCCATTGAAAAGTTGGTGACAGGTGGTACGCCGCTGCGGTTTGTGACATTGCGTGGAGTGAGGCACTGTGCTGGGTGCTGTGGAGGATTGGCGCGGCGATTACATAATCGGATCACGCTGATCGTCTGAACAGGTGGCTTGCCATGCTTTATTAGCCTCCACGCGCTTTTTGGGCTGTCCCATTTTTTCTTTCCCCTTCATCCTTCACAGAACGCCTCCAGGTTAGAGATTATCACGATGACCGCACCCCGACAATATTTCAGTACCGGTACCACCAAGAAAACGGACAACAAAAGACGCCTCCGGCTACTCAAGTCATACGCCCCTGACTGGTGCGTCGTTCAGTCAGCCAAACTTGCCGTGCACTCACTCGCCGTCGCGTAGGATTATTACCATTGCTTTGGCGTACGCTGCTCCCCGGTCCGCATGGTTGCGTCACTCATCTGTCTCGCAGAGCTGTTTTCTTTGCACTGGACGGTGTACATGGCTTCAGGCGGGAGTTTTCCGTCGACGACGAGACGTGAGCTACGGTTTACTATCAAACGTATTCAGCTTACCGCCGCCCACTACATAGGTTACAATTTCCGTACGTTCACCATTTGGCAGTCTGTCATTAACTGACCATGACGATGCAGTTATGCTGTTCACGAACGCGTCCCGGTAAGATGATACTATTCCCATATGCTCCCCGATTCTCACATTCGTTCTCTAGACATGGGCACTGTATATGATCGCCCTCGTGGCCCCTATAGTCATTCAGCTCTTGGTAAACTTAATCACCATCCGCTCGTTTTGGGATTTCCATAACAGCGTACTCGGACGTACGTGCATTCACAGCACTCGTTTCATGTGTACGAGCTGAAATGCCTCACAGTTATTCTGGGCCTCGCAATCACGGGGGCCATTACCCAGTTTTCTAAGATTACCACCGGTCGGCCTCGACCTGGTAAGGCTTAAAACGAGCATTTTTTTAAAAATCATTCACTAAAACTGCGACTTAACACATTCAGACATACTGTCTCGCTGCATCCCTGTGGCTGGGTCTCAAGATCCGACTTACGGCTTGTCCAGTGATGCCATCTGTACTCAGACCGATGATTCCATCATGATCGATGGTTGGCGCAGCTTCCCAAGTGGACACTCTAGTCGTACGTAGTCATTCACGAATCACCTCTTGCATGTCTCACGCGAGACGGTGGCAGTTTCTTTCGCGGGGCTCGGCTTCTTATCTTTTTACTTGGCGGGAAAAATGCACCTCTTTGACAAACGAGGACACGCGGTACGTCCCAGCAATATGCATGCGTTCTACCAGTTCTGACTTGAACTTGTGACCGATTAGCACAAAGCGTGGATATCTCTAGCTCCATTTGCCGGCGCAACCCTTGTTGCCATCTCTCGCACAATGGACTACAGACGTATGTTCCCCCTTGGCCCGTCACATCGCATGCCTGACCATTATCAGATCACTGGCACGATGTCGTAGCTGGAGCTATTTTGGGCACTGCCATCGCTTATTTTACCTATCGGCAATATTTCCCGTCACTTGCTTCACCCATCTCCCACCGCCCATATTCCCCACGCGTTCCCCGCGACGAAGATGTTCTACCCACTGCTACCTCTCACGGTGGCTCACGGTACAGCGAGAGCGGTGAGGCAGAACAACTTGAACTCATCGACGGAGGTGTGCGTAAACCCGATCCTGGTCTTCTGGAAGAGATCTGGCGCCGGGGTGGCGACTCAACGGGTAACGATGCAGGACATGCTTGAGAACGATCTTGGTATGGACTTGGACTCAGTGGTTACATTGCGCCTTCACATGGATTTTCTCCCGTAATACTTTTCGAGATCGAAAAGGCCAGATACGATTTATATGGTACTAGTTTTCGGTCTTCTGGCCACTTCGGCCGGTTGCATTGTGCGCAATCCCAATGTCCGATCTGAGTCGGTGTCAAGTTAACAAGTCATTTTGCCCGAGTGCTGTAGAGGACGTTGCCGATAGATCCGATTTCAGTCAGCTTGTTCTGCTACATAAGGCCAGGCGTGCAAGGTCCTCGACTACAATATTCCTGTTCACCTCATTCTCGTCACCGATGACGCCGCGTGTTCTCAATTTTGGCGCAGGGCCTTCGGCATTACCAGAGTCCGTGCTGAGGCAGGCTGGCGAGGGCCTCCTGGACTTCCAGGACACAGGCATTGGCATCGCGGAGATCTCGCACCGCTCGAGCGAGTTTAAGACTTACCTCCAAGGTGTCGAGTCCGACATCAAGAAACTACTCAAGGTCCCAGACAGCCATGCGATTCTCTTCACTCAGGGAGGAGGGTCAGCACAATTTTCTGCCGTCGTATTGAATATGCTAGCTAGACATCACGAACTCTACCCCGCGCTCGAGCCGCAACAGCGAGTGATGGACTATATAATCACAGGATCGTGGAGCGACAAAGCAGCGAAGGAGGCAAGGAGATTGGGGGGCGGAACGGTCAATGTCGTCGTCGATTCGAGGAAGTTGTCAACTCAAGAAAAATTTGATAACATACCCAGTCACAAAAATGACACCTACAAGTTCTCGAGGAACCCCGTCCTCATTTACTACTGCGCCAACGAGACTGTCGATGGGGTTGAGTTTTCCCGCGAGGAAGGCAACGGGACCTCGTTCCCTTTCCACCTCCTTCCTGAGCATGCCCCCCTGGTCGCGGATTACTCTTCCTCCTTCATGTCACATCCTATTCCTCGCCTACAAGACCACGCGATTATCTATGCCGGAGTCCAGAAGAACCTTGGTCCGGCGGGATTGACGGTACTCATCGTCAGGAAGGACTGCATCGTCGATGTAGACAAAGCCACTCAGAACGGTGCTCTACCCGTTCCATTGTGCACTGCATATCAGACGCTGGCTAAGCACCACAGCTTGTACAACACGCCTCCCGTACTGTCGATTTATATTACCGGACTCGTTCTCAGGAAAATGATACAGGACTTTGGGGAAGATGCGCTGGGAAAGTATGCTGCACTTTCCGCAAACAAGTCCGCCAAGGTATACGACGCGTTGAAGAAGGGAGAGCAAAACGGTGTCTTCAAAAGTAAAGTTAGGGATGACTCTGGCAGTCAGATGAATGTCGTTTTCGACGTCGTCGGCGAGGACAAATTAAACCAGTTTATTGCTGGTGCCGAGGCACTGAACATGAAAGGGCTGCTTGGGCATCGGTGGGTTCTGTTCAGAACAGCTTAGATTCACGAGGACTGACGAGATCCTGCAGGTCTGTTGGAGGTAGGTCAACGATTTGTTTTCCATCTTACTTGATGGACCAACTCATTGGCAGGTGTTCGAGTTTCACTTTACAATGCAGTCACCGAAGACCAAGTCCAGACGCTGGTAGATTATATGACTAAGTTTTCCGAGGGGAAGAGCGTGCCGTAGCACAATGGATGTAACATTTATCTCGTACTTGGGGTGTGTGGGTGTGGAGTCACGAGGACCATATCAAAGACTATCTGCCGCCCAAATTTCAAGTCACTTTGCCGGAGTGGTTAACGGGATCGCCTGCTAACAGCCAAGCGGTTGGGCTTTGCCCGCGTGTGTTCGAATCGCACAGGTGACGCTTTTTTTTGTCATGCGTAAGACTATTTCTAAATCTTGGCTGGGGTCGTCGGACAACGCAACCTTGGACCGCCTTAGAACTGAAAGTGAAGATCTTTAATACAGTGGCGGCAGAGTTGGAGGGGCCAACTTTTGTCACTGGCACGTGCATTTTCGCGTCGCGCGCGAAGCCTGCTGTGTTTCAGTTTTAAGGCTGTTGGCCTCAATGTTCCGTCGCTACAACAGCGGACAAAAGCCCGGCACAATTTGTACGTGCCCCATGGCTGAGTTGGTTACAGCGTCCGACTGTTACTATACCCAAACATCGGAAGGTCGTGAGTTCGAGCCTCACTGGGGCAGGTTCCTTTTTCATTTTCTCTCGATGGCATCCACAGGTATCTGGCATGAGGAAGCAAATGGGAAAGTATGTGAGGAAGCGAAGTTGGGACTTCGGTGCTTGAGAGCAGAAAGGAGTCATAATTGGTACCATAATCCTATGGCTTGGCTCATAAAGATCCATGTCTCCCGACAGCATTCGAGCAGTCTGAACTTGCAAAACTTATTCGCCTCTTCTTCATCTCTTGCCATTTTAATCCTCCTCTATGCACCTTCTCCATTGACGATACTGCCTTTGCGTTCACGAGGGTGAGCAAGCACTTGAACGAGGGCCTCAAATTTGGGAAGTTGGATGGGAAGCGTGTGAGGAACACGACTTGCTGGTGCGACCCTTATGATGTTAGCTGTAGTTCGAGTGGCTGCTCGATAGGATGGTAGCGTAACATTGGTATCATCTGACACATCACCCCACGCCGGTACCTGCCTGATCGCCTCTAGGTATCTGCTTTGAGGTTGAGGTGTGGCCTGGCGTACCAGACTAGGCGGCAGAATTGGATTAGCGGCACAGGTGGGTGGGGTACTCAGCAGACGAGTTAGACTCAGTGCTTGCTTGGGTTGGCCAACACAAACGTGAGTTGGGGTATCGTCCTCAGCGAACACTGAAGAGTACCCCTCCTCCATGGTGTCGGTGCTCTGCATTTCACGGTGATGCTGATGCGATCGAAGAGTGAAGACGTCGTCATCGTCATCACCGCCGCCATGGCCTGCAGGAGTGGTAGAACGTGCAAGAGGGCGATTAAGATTTGGTAATAGATGCCGAGCAGCAGTTGGCTGCGGGGTCATTTTGATTCGAGATGTAGGTCCGTTTCCAGAGGGAGCATTTGCATACCCATATAGCTTCTTAACATCGTCCCACTTAGCTTGCCAACTTGGGCTCCTTAGCTTGCAAGGCTCCAACAACCTTCCATAGTGAACAGTTTCTGTTTGACTATCTAGACCGCAATCGTGCAGTTCGTCATTGTAAGCCTTGAGTCCTGCCAGGAAAGAGGTAGCGTTCGATGGTATTCTTCTAACGACTGCGTCCAAAAACTCGACTTCAAGGGGAGAGAGGGCCTGGAGTTCTGATTTCGATGTTGCAGACGTCCGCGAGATATCTGAGGTACCAACAGCGGCAACCACCAGAGACTTGGCAGGCGAGGACGTAGTACAGGGCCTAAAACCAAACATACGCTGTCAGTAAATTCTGCGTGCTCGTGTCGCTCATATCACAGCCGAATCTCGCGTGTCGACGTCGCGTCGTCGTGTGTGGCACGTGACCGAACAGCTTTGTTACACCTATGCCGATGCACCCATCCAACCAAATCCATGGCATCCAAGGTATGTCTTGGTTCCATCTATCAGTTCTCATATTCAGGGTCCACAAAGGCGAAAGAGAGAAAGGGAAGAAGAGGCCCTGACGTTCCAGTGACTATCATCATGCTCAGTTGGAGAAGTACGAAGCTCGATTCGCAAAGCTTGAGAATATCATAGAGGAACAGTAAGTCACTATCCAACGTCTTGAGGAGGAGGTCAACTGCGTCGAGAAGGGGGTCAAGCACCTCACCCATGAGCTCATGGACTTATTGGACCGTCTGAAACAGGTGCGTCAACTAGTTGTGCTTGTACCAATATGTATTGCTTATCAGGGCACTGTGGCCCTGATACCACTCCACTCATGCTGCCTCTAGACATGGGTCTTGTTACAGTCCTTTGACGACTCTTTTATGTCTGAAGACCAGTGAACTGCAATCATGTAACACATTCGATTTGCATGTAAATATGGTTATGTTTTGGCAGTTCCGGTGTACCTGGGAAGCAAAGCTCTTGTAAGACAACTACATCGTTTCTCGTACGAAGGCCAGTGTCCCCAGTGATGAGGAAAGTAACTCGAGGATCCGTGCACTTTCCTTTTTTTGCAACTCCAACAATTCCTTCAGCTCTAACTGCAGTTCCACATTCTCGACGAGAGTGTCTCCGTGCAGCCGTAAGAATACATTCTGCAATGTTTGAATCCCTTCGAAGTCTCGGTGAGAAAGTAGCCGCTGTTTTAAAGCACGAAGGAACTGCCGGTGATGATCGAGTGTAACCAACGACCGTAGCTCAAGGTCGATGGCGGCGGGAGACAAACTCTTGATGTAATCGAATAGGTCATCTACTGTGGGAGACCATGAAACACGATTGAGAAGCAACACGCAGATTGGTACTGACGTTGACCCTTATCCAATCCTGCTAGCTTCTTCTCGAAGATACTCTTAGACTTTGCCATGGCCTTGTCAAAACGTGTCTTCTTGTCGGTGGCATCGGTTTGTTTCTGGTCAATTGCGAATCGATGCTCCACTCCGGGCAGGGTGGGAAGGAAGAATGGTGCTTGTTCAGGTTTTTTTGGTGGTTCTTTGGGTTTGTTCCGTTGCTGGATTCAGGTCGTAAGTTACAAGTATGTCAGGTAGCTTCCTTCCCACCACCAACCTCGATAACCTCAAGATTTAACAGAGGTTTGCCATCGCGAACGTGGTAGTAACGTCAGCGTCACGAGGTCCCCATCTAGCTGAGGCGGCGTCGAGAATACATCCACAGGTTTATCCTCCATCGTCAATGCAGTTAGGGCTTCTAAGTCTTTGAACATGTCAAGCATAGAAGACTCGGGGAAGTTCATTCACTTACTTTCGTCCTCAACCTCGCCTTGCATTGAAGGCATTGAGACTTCTGCCAAGTCCTCCTCGGAGACGGATCGGAATCCAACTTCCGCAAACTGGGCACGGTTCGCCCTTTTATTGTCAGGATGAAGGTTCATTCATCATCAAGAAGGGCAACCTACCAAAGAAAGACGCCAACACTGTCTACGTGGGCTGTCGCCAGAAAATCTCCGGTGGGCGAAAATGCGATACTGGTAGCCATACTTGGTACGCGAAAAGCGTCTATAAGGCGAGAAGTGGGGATGTCAAACGTTCTTATTATGGAATCCAGCGATGTGATTACGATCCAGCGGGAATCGGGTGAAAATGCCTGGGATACGGTCAGTCAGGCTGAAAGAAACGACATGAAAGGATCGCCTTGCAATATCTAGTATTCGACCCTTCGAACCGCAGACTAGCTCCCTGACGACTCGCTTCGTTTCGATATCAATGACACGAACTGTCATGTCATCGCAAGTTGCGGCTAGAAGCCCTGAACTACGGTGTAGATTTATTGACGAGACCGGTGCGGATAGTGTTAGGGTATGCTGCAGCTTTGTCGTGTGGAAGTCGAAGAACTGAAAATTCGGAGTCAACTACATCACCGGCCTTGCGGTTTAAGAAATGGCGTACATCGATCGTCCCATCCTGTGTACTTGCAATGACGACGCGGTTCAAGGCGTCTGTAGCTAGCCCCGTAATAACGCGATCGCCTTTTTTTGTTTCCACTTTCGCTTTTGGTATTTCAGTTGCATTCTGTAGACATGGCCGTGCAAGTTTGAAGGTTTTCCGTTTGATGCCAGATTGCATATTCCACATAAGGATTTCGCCTGTAGATGAGCCTGCAATGCCAAAGTTGCCGCATTCCGTAACGCAAAGCGCACTGCGAAACTTCTGTCTTATTTAAGGGCACACTTAGTACGATCAACATGACAAACCTTCACACTGCCTGAACGTGTGTTCCGTCTAGAGCTCTCGTGATAATTCCAGGTATGCTCTCCGAGGCGTTTATTGAGCACACTCCATGAACGTACCAAAGGCTCATCCACATGAGCTGTAAGCACGTCATCCCAGTCTTTCGACCTAGTTGTCGAGAACGAGATGGAAGTGACTGGCGGAAACTTGAGAGAGGAGAGGGATTTCGACAGGGTGATGGCCTTGCGCGCAAGAGAACCTTGTCACAGAAGAATGTAGACGTTATCTACAAAGAAAGGTTGACTCCCTACCTTGGGACAATTCAAAGGAACGGGAGTCGCGGACGACAGAAGTATACCGGAGACTCCGGTCAGCCGAAGCGGTCAACAACTGTTTGCCATCTTCGCCGTAATACCTAATAAGGTGAGGGGGAGCGTGATGCCCCGCCCGCAACTTGAGCAGTCCTTGGAGCAGCCGTTGGAGAGTCAAACAGCCATTGCTGTCCTCGGTAAGCAACATAGAAAAGGAATCGTCGAGAATGTTCGACTGACCTTGACGCTATTGTCTTCTCCAGAAGTTATTAGCACCGGCTGCCCTGGAACCCATTCTGCACTTGTGATACCGCCGTCGTGCGCGCCTCGGACAAGGTGAAGAAGGCGACCTCCAGAATTTAAGTCCCAAAGTGCCAAATGACCTAACGATGACACGGAAGCCAGGACTGGGTTTCCATCTGAAATTTATCGTTAGTAATCATCCGAAGAGTTCCATGTCAACTGACCGCTTCGGAAACAGAGGGCTCTAACACCCCCACCCTCCATGTACATCCTCATGAGCCTCTCATCAGCGCGTATAGTCATACACAGAGATTTCTCCAGACATAGACCCCACGCCGACCACGTCAATTGCAGGTGACTGTGCTAAGGCTACAATTGGACTCGAAAGAGGACTGGAGCTCGATACTGTTAGTAATTTTGACGTAGAAATGGTGTGTATACAAGTCCTGCAGGCGAGAAAAATGAGTAAGCACCGCTACCCGCCAGGGCAATTTAACGTACTGTGT